GAATAAAATTCAGCCTCAACCCCACCCCAGACTTCACCGCAGCTGCCGCCTGGGGATCTTCCTTCAGGACGTCTGTCCTCGAAACAGACACCTGTAGCGATGTATGGGTGCCTCCGTCCACATGGGGTCACACAGCACAGGTCTTTCCCCCAATAATATATGGGGAGATCATTATCAAAGTGGGAAAATATGATTAAAGTGTCAATAAGTACAGACTAAAGTCATTATTTTCAGTGGCTGTATAATAGCTCATAATATCATATGTTATCATTATAATATCTGAACAATATATCCAACATGTACTTAAGCCATCACTTGAGCTGCGGCATCCAATCTTTCCCATTGGTGTCGGTGCCACCACAAATATTTGGAGCGCCTGCCCCTTTGTATTCGGGCCGTTATCACTGGCCGTCTTTTTGTAAAGAAGGATAAACCGTCCATTTTTTTCAGCTTAATATTAGGCGACCATAGAATGTGTGGTTCAGACCGGGTCACTTTTGAGAGCAGAAGGCGGCGCTGTTAATAGTCCTGCCTCCGCACAGGCCCAGAGGAGGCTGTCCTGGGCCAGACGGGAGGACTGCCCCGTCCAGGAACACTGAGGTTTCTGCAAAAGGCACGTGAACAGGGGGAGCCAGCCTGGGCTGGGATTATGTTGATAGGTTATTGTCATGGGGCTCATCCCCACCCCCAAACTTAGGTTGGTGTCTCTCCACCATTTCAGGCTGTGAGAACTGGACCCCAGGGGGTGGAGCTTCTCCAAACATCCCCGTCTAGTCATCCACCTGTACAGTTACCTGTCCACCCGTCCTTCTGTCCACCTCGCTCGTTGCCAGTTGCCAGCAGCCCCACAGCAGCATATCATCAGTGCCAAGAACAAGGCCTGTCTTAGAGGTGCTCAACGATAAGATTTGTGAAGGAATGAATGACTGAGTGAATGAATGAATGATCACCAGGATCATCCTCATGGCAACTGCCATTTATTGGTGGTTTAATGAGGGTCAGGTGCTCTGATAATGTTGCATACCTGCGTTCTCATCGAATCCTCCCAGCAGCCCTGCCAGGGGGCATCGCTAGCCTGTTTCACGGAAGAGGAAGCAGGGTCTTGGACAGGTAAAGCCACCTGACAGGTAGCGAGTGGCAGGGTTGCCATGTGACCCAGGTCTGGCTGGCCCTGGAGTCACACAAACACGTACATGCCATGCTGCTTCCCTCTTCCCACCCCGCTGACCACCATGCCGTGCCCTGCAGACCCCAGCGCACCGTATGGAGGCTGTGAGCGAGTCCCCACGCCGCAGGGCAGAGAGGGTGCCGGCCCCATGTCCAGCGGTCCCTCCACGCAGGGAGGGAGTTCACGTCCCGTCCCCAAAACGGGAACCTGAGAGAAGGTCTGAGCTGTTTCCCCTGACAGTTCACTCTGGGCTTGGGGTCTGCCACCTCCAAGAGCCCCTGTGCCCCTCCCACATGGCTCCTTGACCAGTGAACTCATGGAATCTTAAGTTGGAAGAGACCCTCAAGAACTAAAGCTACCCCTCACTTTCAGATGAGGAGACTGAGGCCCAGAGAGGTTCAGCATCTGGGCTAGGCCTCTTAGCTGCTGGTGGCACAGTATAAATGTCCTGGGAGAGAGGCCACCTGCCAGCTGTCGGCTGACCTCCCCCTGGGCACTGGCTGTCCTGTGGCAACTGCTGGTCACACAGGCCAGAAGGAAGCCCTGGAACCAGGAAGCCCTGTCTCTGCGGGGACACTGCGAGGCCGGACAAGGAATCGCGCTGACAGACGTTTCTTCTGCTTTTCTTGGTCCCCCTTGGGCTCACGACCCTGGTGAGTGCCCCCTGTAGTGCCCAGGAGGGGAGGGTCCCGGCAGCCCAGTTGGCAGGGCTGGCCCCCTCGTGGGCTGGCCGGGTTGGTGCAGAGAGCCAGCCTGCTCTGCCGCGTTGACCCCGCCCAAGGAGCGGCCGCCGTGCCCCTGCCTGCTGCTTTTCCGTGTGAAAGGTGTTTAATTATTTCTGACAGAGTTCAGCATCGACATCTGTTCGCGAGGGGGGAGAGTCCATTTAGGTTATCCATCACCGTGACGGGTTCAACTTTTTGGAAATGCTTTTTCCTCTCATAATGGGGCCGGGGGGGCGGGGTGGGGGCGGTGGATCAGCGGAGACACAAGGCGCAGACAAAGACCCTCCTGGGGCCTCGCACATGAGGCCGCGGACTGCAGCAGCCCCCGAGGGGGCTGGAAGGACTCTGGCCACACCGGCCCTTCCGAGTCCAGACCCAGTCAGTGGCTGCCAGGGACGATGGGCACTGGGATGTTTAGGTTGAGAAGGGAGGTTTCGTCGGGTCTATGAAAGATTTTTAAATTCTTTAGTCATTCTGGGCTGTACTGGTCATTCATTCATTCAGCTAGTCCTTCACTTATTCTTTCCACAGACATTTACTGACCAGGCACCGGGTGCCAGGCACCGTGCTGGGCTCTGCGGCCACGGTGCAGGACACAGCAGGCGTGGTCCTGTGGGCTCACGTTTTACAGGGGAAAATGGACGTTGAACACTAATTGACCAGTTAATTAATTAATTGCAGCATGGATGGGTGCCGGGATGGGGAAGGAGGGAGAGGAGCCCTTGGTGGGTAGAGGGGACCCACTGGGGTGCGGTGGGAGGTGAGGGAAGGAGTCCTCAGGGGGCATCACAGCCCAGCCTGCCCAGCACTAGGCAGGGCCCCCTTCTCCCAGGGCAAGTGCCTTTACCTCTCTGAGCCTCAGTTTCCACATCCGTAGAGTGGGGACACCTATGAGGTTACGGCTGTCCAGCATTAGGCACACAGTAAGAGCTCAATAAATGCTTTCCCCGGGTGGTACTTCCCAACGGAGAGGGAACTGAGCCTGCATCCGTTGACGGCACACTCTGGGGGTCTAAGTGCACCTGCGGGAGCCCAGAGATGAGCACTGCTCGGAGAGTCCTGCAGCTGAACTTCCGGAGTCCCGTGAACATCCCCAGAGAAGAGGAAAAACGCCCTATAAATCCCAGGGCTTGCGTTCTTACTCTCCTTCTCACTATTTCTATGACCTGATGGGTCGTGCGTTCCAGCTTGGGCCCTGCAGTCAGAGGAACCTGCAGCCAGGCGCTGGGTGAGGAGAGCACAGCCCCCTCGTCCTCTCCTCCGCACAGCTGGGGTGAGGATACTCGCATGAAATAATACACGTAAATGACTTAGCACCTGCCTGGCATTGAGCAAAAGGTTAGCATTATGGTTGGCTGCTGTTGTTCATAACAGTGTTTTATAACAACAATCTGAAGACCGGAAGAGACCCACAGTCAGCTGAGTCAGTTCCCCTTTTGTAAAAATAGAAACTCATTTGTTTACTTCGACATTGTGTTCCTCCTCTGCTCCAGAGGAGCAGGTGCTGTGGGGATGCCTGCGTGGGAGCCAGGTGCTCCTGACACAGGAGAATCGGTGCTACCTGGGTGGGGGGTACCTGGGTGGGGGGCACCTGGGTAGGGGGTGTTGGGGGCAGGAGGGGCCCCTTCCTTGCTGCGCTGGGGGAAGACCACCTGAGCCCTCCTCTGCCCATTGCCTTGGGAGCTGTGGGTAGATTCTAAATCAGAGACCGGGGGCTGAGAGGGGCCGGGAGTCGATGCTGCAGAGCAGAGCGCTGTGGAGGGCATCTCGTGCGCCTGGAGCCGTGGCTCCCGTCCCTCCCCGGGCAGCATCCCCTGGATGCCTGCATCCCATGGACTTCGGGAAAACCCGAGAGAAAAGAGCAAAGGAGGAAGAGCAGCAGGAGGGGCCGAGAAAGAGGCTGTGGATGGAAACTGCCGAGTGTGGGAGAGAGAAGGGGGAGGAGGGCTGTGGTTAAAGAGGCGGGAAATTGAGAGCGACAGAGAAACCAGAGCTGCGTGGGGGTGCCGAGGCCGGGGCAGAGAAAGTGCACAGCGGCAGCGGCCCGGCGATCTCGCCACCTGCAGCATGGCACCCGGTCTTGTTCCTGCGCACGGGGCCCTTCGGGCTGACGGGCGGCAGCGTGAATGGTCACTGACATGTGCTGATAGAGCCACTCGGGCAGGACAGGAGAGGCCACGTCAAGGGGGCAGGCAGGCTTCTCTGGCGAAGCCCGGCAGCTTGCTCGACTGCATTAGGCTCGGGAAGGCACCAGCCCCTTCACCGTCTCAATTGCAGTTTACCTCAACATCACAGCCAGGCTGAGGCTGACCGGGTACCTTGCTTTGTCCAGCCGTCATCCTGGGGCCGGGCACGTCCCTTGTGGTCCCTTAGAAAGGCTTGCTGGGCCCGAGTCGGGCATGCACAGCCCTCTCCCATCCTGAAGCCACTGTCTCCGAATCTCCCAGTTCCTCTCCTTTGTACAGTGCCCAGCTCTTGCCTTGTCCTTCCCCTCCTAAAAGGTGCTGACGACGAGTCCCATCTACAGGGCTACATGGCCTAATGAACCCTGGGTCAGATCTGAGGCCGGAGCATGGCAGGTTCTAGGTCTCTCTGGGTGCATGTCATGCCCTCACGTGAGCCCCCAGGAGACATTTGCTCCATCTCCCCAGGGAGGGTTAGCGCTGGTGGCATGGGGCTACCTTGCACCCCCAAGTGCCCAGTGCAGGATGTGGTGCATCGATGACCCCATCAGTAGACGGGGGTTTGGCCCAGTGTCCGCCCAATGGACAGACACCTAGGCTCCGTGGTCAGATGGCCCAGGTTCAGCCCAAGGCTGCCACTTACCAGCATTCATCATGTTTCCCGTCTGGAATGGGAATGACGGTAGCAGCCCCCTCCAATGAGTGCAGAGTCAGTGAAGTGGAGCTCAGTGTCTGGCACTCAGAAAGTGCTCAAAAAATGTTAGTTATTGCTGTCGCTATTATTACTGTTATGGTTGTTGTTGTTATGCCGATCGATGGTTAGAAGCCCACAGAACTCCACTGTCTAGAGGACAGGTAAGGACCAGGCAAGGTGAGCGGCATCCGCTCCAGGCGCGGGAAGCGGCAGGTGGAGGCGAGACTGACCTTCTGGAAGTGAGGCATCTGCCAGAGGGCATCCAGCTGCACGGGTGGCTTGTACTTCCTCAGCTGACTGCTCCGGGTCTCATACAGCTTCCCCAGGATCACCTGCAGGCCAGAGGAATGCAAAGATGAGGTGGTACCTGGCCCCTGGAGAAGCCTGAGCTAAGACACAGGGGCATGAGGGCAGGGAGTTGGGATTCCTGGGGCTGCAGACTGGGGTCACGTTCCTCCCGGCTCTGGCCCTTCTCTGACTTCACGGCACCTGCACTCCGGGCCCCGCCCCTGGCCACTGCTCAGTGGACTTGGGTGTGGGGCCACGGGATGCCAAGAGCATGTTGTTCTCGTTTCTGGTTAGACCCTAGAACACTCGGGGTTCTAGCATGCAGCCGCCTTGAGGGCAGGGACGGTGTCCCAGGCGACCTTGAAATTTCCCCTGAATCTAACACAGCCCTGGTGATTCGCAGGACTCACTGTGTTTGGATGAAGATGGGGATTCAGTGGATTGTTGCCATTTCTCAGGAGCAGGTCCTCACCGTGGCCTGCTCGTGGAACAGGAAGGAGGACTCCTTTAGGGAGAGGGCTTAAGGGACTCAGTTCTGAGCCCACGATGTCTCTGTGGGTGGGATTCCAGAGGCACCGAGGGAGCCCCACTGCATGCATTCCTTCACGCATGCTGACCCGAATTCAACTGAAGATGCCGCCACCCCATCAAACCCCTTTTGTTGATTTATTTTGTTAATCAATTATATTAATTTTATTGACTGTGTCTGTGGATAACTTACAAGCCCTTTGGATCAGCTGTCCTCTCTGCCTTCTAGAACAGTTTTGAAACTATCTTCAAACCAAACAGAGAGGCTGTCTAGCTGGGGGTTAACAAGCTGGGCGTCAGAATTGGAGGGACACTGACAAGTCATGTCACCTTTCTAAGCCTCACTTCCCTCCGCTGGAAATGGGGTACCGATGCCTAACAAACAGGGTGATTGTAGTATTTGCTGAGATATGCTTTGAGCAGAGTGTCTGGCCCAAGATGATTGCTCACTAAATGGAAGCTGTTACCTAGAATTTCATTTGGGGACATCACCGTCCAAAATCCAGGATATCCTTAGCTACCGAAGAGATAAGTTTCTCCTTGGATGGTGGCAATTTGACCTTGCAAACCGACCATCTTATCAACCCCAATAAATTGCTTAACCCTAGACAACAGCCCCCCAGCATTTGGTGGGTCTGGGTGTTCACAGCCGTTTGTCAGACAACCTATCAGCCACAAAGACTCTTGGACCGGGAGGAGAGTCTGGGGTTGGTTCAACAAGTGTTTTCTGAGTGTCTGCTGCATGCTGGGCACAGCACGGCGGGCCCTCATTTAATCTGACCCCCTTGTTTTGCCCAATGAGGAAATTGAGACCCCAGCGAGGTGGTGACCCACTCAAAGTCATGCCCCCGCAGGTGGCACCACTTCCCAGCCAGTGTGTGGGGTAGATCCACTCATGTTAGCTGCTCAAGGGGTGCTCTGCAGAAAAAGGAGGGGCGCTGGCTGCGGGATTGTCCCTACAGTCGGAGGACGTGTCCTCGGAGGCTGGGGAGTCCGTGGACCCGAGACTCTCCGAGCTGCCGTGAAATAGCTCCTAGTTCAACAGCACGCCTCTCAGTTGGAGCTATAAAGCGGTGTGTAATGGCCACGCTCCCTCTGAAAACTGGTCATTACCATTGCCAGTCCACTCTTTCTTGAGCCATTAACAAGTAAACTAGTCACGGGCTGCTGTTAAAATGTTATTACGACACTCTGCTCTTTAAGGAGCTGGCGTCCCAGGCTCCTCAGTCCCCTGAGAACAGCCGGGAGAGCCCCTCCGTCCCCCATACTGCTCCTGGCCCGGCCTGAGGGCACCAGGATCCAGGTAAGACTCTTCCGCTCCCCAGTTTGGCCCTAGAACATCCTGGGCGCTGTCTCTGAACCTGAGCTCTCCGTAATCAGCAGGAGTGGGAACTCGCCGTCCAGAAGAGCCTGGACACGCCTGGGTCGAGGCCTGGCACTCACACATTTGGCCATTTAATCTCTCTGAGCCTCAGTCTCCTCATCTGAAAATGCAACTGAGACGATCTGATGAGACACCGACATCAGGGGGTGCTCGGGAGGAAAAATGCAGGGACTTGGGGTGCACGCGCAGCCGGTTCTCAGCACGGAGTGTGGCGGGAGGACAAGGGACGGCATCGATTATGACAGTTGTGATGGAATCTATAAAGCGCCAAGTGAACGGAAAGCAATTCTGATCTTACGATGATCAGTCTGGACCTACTGCAGAGGAGGCCAACCTGAGTGCCCCGAAAGTCTGGATTTTGGGATATTTTAAAGGAAGTATTGTTTTAGTATTTTCAAAGGTGTACAGTGACACAAATTAACAGCTAAAGATGTTTTTCCAGGTAAAAGTCTCACCGAGACTCATATCATTAGCAGTTGGCCCTCGTCTGTCCTCAGCTCTGTTTTCCCGGCACGGGCACCGCCTCTTGAGCCTCATTTCCCCGCCTGGGGAAACAGGGTGAAGACGCCCAGCTCGCGGGCTTCCGTCAGCGTGGACGAGATGATGTGTATGACATCCGTTAAGTGTTTAGCATGGGCCCATCCATTAATTTGAAGCAAAATGTAATCCTAAAGTTTAATAAAACGTGTTCTTTGCAGCACCCTCCCAGAAGTGGGTTTTCTCTGTTAACCTTGCCTAATTGGCCTTTTCTTTATAGAGCGTACAGGGCACATTTCTGTCCAGGCCGGGTCAGATTGGTTTAAAATCTGGTCTCCGGAAGTGTGAGGTCGTGCGGAGGTTTAGTGACGAGTCCCCAGCAGCAATCTGGAGACTGGGTTCTAATCCTGCCCCAGAGGCACACGGCCAATTTGCCCGTGACCCCGGCCAGAATCTTCCACTCTCGGGGCCTAAGTAGGGGTTGAACCTGACGATCACCAAGACCCTCCTGGCTCTATATTTCTGATGCCTGGTCTGCACAGCAACAAGCAGCTTGATTCCCACCCCATCCCCACCGTCCTGTCCTCCCCGCCGCCTGGCAGCGACAGACATGCATGAATGTCATCTCAAAGCTTTGCCTCTGCCAGCCATCCCCCCACCCCCGCTCCCCCCAACAGCCAGCCACTCGGCGTTAGCGCTGCGTTTACCTTGTGTTTTTTCTCCAGCTTGATGGCTTTCTGGGTGGCCTTTTGTTCCTGCACCCAAAGCTGCTGGTACCGGTGCTGCAGCAGATCGAAGAAGGGGGTGGAAGGCCTGCGGGAAGAATCCAGACAGGCCTGAGGTCTTGGAAGGGCAGCATCACCCTCTCCCCCAAGGCCGCACATCTGACTGTGGGGGCTGCAGGGCAAACCACTCTCCCCCGAGGCTGCCAGAGGCTCTCTCCTGGCTTCTAGAGCCATGGAAGAAACAGGTGCCTTGCGTGAGTCATTCAACAAACATATACTGCATGTCAACCAAGTGCTGGGCCTGAGATGGTGACGAAGACTCTCCTCTTGACCAAATTTTAGGCAAGCTCCTCTGTACCCTCTTTTCAACTAGGCCTCGTCCTTGGGCCCTGTCCTTGGCCTGCTTAAGTCAGTCTTAGCAAAGAACCCTGCCAAGTCAATCCCCCACCCTTGATATCTAATCACCTTGGCCCGCCTTTACCAAGAATCCTGATGTCAGTTTAGAATCTCCCTACCCTCGATGTCTCCTCTGAGTATTTTCCATCCACTGACCTTCACACTCTGCTCCTTGGCTATAAATCCCCACCTGTGTTGTATTCAGAATTGAGCCCAGTTCTATACCGAAGTCACTGTCCCCTTTTGCAATAGTACTGAATAAAATTTGTCTTTACCGCCTTTGGTATCCAGCTCTGGTTCTCTTTGGCAAAAGTCTCCAGCCAAGGAGCACTTATCCTGTGCAGAGCATTTTGTTCACACCACCCCTGCACAGCACTGTAAAGTGGATACAGTCATTATCCCCATCCTAGAGATGAGGGGTAAGGTCCCAGAGCAGCGAGGCAGTGCTGTGAGAGAGACCTGCTCCGGGTAACCAAATAGGTGACGAGGGAAAGTTCTTTATAGAAGAACCAGAGCTAATAAATGCAGGAGGGATATACTAGGGGGGAAGGGAATCATTATTTTGCAACTCCTAATGAAATAACAGTTTAGGTAGTAATCATCAGTGGCTGCTAAATGACTAGTTGGAAGGCCGGTGGGGAACTTTACAATGAGAGGAGTCAGGCTGCAGCAGCTGAGCCAAATGATCAATTTTTTTATTGTGGTAAAATATGCATAACATAAAATTTACCCAAATGTCAGTCTTAACATCACTGAAAGTGACAAACAGACCTTGTGCTGGAAGTGACACAATAAGAGGTATGCAGCACCATCCACCAAATATTTTGGGGGAAACAAACCCCAGAGGTTCTGATTCAGAAAGTGGGAGGGAGGCCCAAGAAATATAATTTGTAGCAAATATAGGAAGTAGTTCTGATACGGGTATGGTGGGTTGAATGGTGGCCCCGCAAAAGATATGTTTCCATCCTAATCCCAGAACCTGTGAATACGACTTTATTGGGAAAAAGGGCTTTGCTGACGTAACCAAGTTAAGGATCTCAAGATGGGGTAAATAATTACGTAAATGTTTTTTAGGGTAGGCCTCAAATCCGATGACACGTGCCCCTATAAGAGATACACAGAGGAGGGGCACAGCGAGAAGAGGAGACGGTGATGTGAAGGTGGAGGCAGAAAGCGACATGATGCTGCCACAAGCCAAGGAGTGCCTGGAGCCACGAGAAGCTGGAAGAATCAGGGAGACACTCCACCAGAGCCTCTGGAGGGAGCCGGCTCTGCGGACACCTTGGTCTCAAACCTCTGGCCTCCAGACTGTAAGAGAATACATTTCTGTGGTTTTAAGCCACCCACTTTGTGGCAATTTGTTACGGCAGCCCCAGGAAACTAGTACATGGGGGTTCCTCAGCTCGCAGTTTGGGAAACACCAGTAGAAACTGCTGTTCAGATGAGTGCCATCCAGAGTAGGTCCTGTGACTGGAAATCACGGTCTTTTACAGCTGAAGGAACATAGAGCAGCATTTTGTAAACTGTCACGTGTGCGTGGATCCCTGGGGGATCTTGTTAAAGGCACATTCTGGTTCAGTGGGTCTGGAGCGGCTGGAAGTCCTGCATCTAGGACCCATACTTCTTGGCTTAAGGCGTTAGAGATCATCTAGCCCCCTGAAGTCCTGTGACAATCATTTCTGAGCAGGTGTGTAAAGACATTTTGTCTGGGGAGAGGACCCACAGCTTCTATGGCATTTTCAGAGGTGCAGGTGTCCCAGAAAAGGTTCAGAGCCTCTGATCTTCCCCAGAGACTTTATTTCACAGACAAGTAAATGAGGAAACGGAGGTACTGAGAAGAGAAGCGACTCCCCAAGATCACACAGCCAAGGACCAGAGACTGCAAACCTCAAGCCTCTGGCTTTGTGTTTGATTTGGCCTGCACAGGATCTTAAAAGACTTTGAAATCATTATCAGTATTTAAAAATTGGGAAATTTTACATAAAAACCCAGCTTTCCAGATTGTCTTGAAAACATGTAAGTCCTGACTGTGTGGGCCTGTGTTCCTATGCAGCAACAGTTGGCTGGAGCTGAATATCTGGTGCCATTTAGCCCCAGTCCTCTCCCTTCCCTAGTGCCCCTTTACCAGACTAGCTCTACTACCTGCTGGGCCCCTCCAAGTGTTGGATTTTGTGGCCCCAGAGATAGATGTAGAGCTGGACTGGACCCTAAATATCCACCCCCACTCTCCCACCCCATCTGTGCTCCTGGTCCAGTCTGCCTCCCCTACATGCGGACCTCTTTGGGATCGGGCTGAGTTGGGACTCTATTTGAGTGGAGGTTCAGCGGCTTCGAAACGCCAGTTGTGCTCAGAGGTCTCTTTACAGAGCAGCCTGCAGTGCATCTACAAACAGCGGCTCTTTGTTTTCCCGTTCCTTACCCCTGTGGTGACTTTTATTACTTAATTATTACACACCCCATGCTTCTGAGCAGCCTAATTTATAGCCGTGCTTTCTAATGACACTAGATGTGTAATCTCACGGTATCTACCCCAAGAGGCCATTCAGAACAGAAAAGCTATCTTCCCAGCAGCTCCCACTGCATATATCACCGGAACCTATCCTCACAGCCCTCCTGCAGCCTCCTGACTGTCTTTGTGTCCTGCTCTGGCCGGCCGTTCTTATTACCTGGCAGGGAGGGGCTCGGAGCAAGAGAGCAGCTGATAAACCTTGTGAGTCATGATGGCCCAGCCTGCCTGGCCGAGGAGGTCCAGAGGATTTGCCCACTTCTGCTCTGGCTTGTTAACTTGCTCAGGGTAACCAAGTAGATGATGAGGGAAAATTAGGATGAAAAGGTGGAGAGTCTTGTCTGACGTGGGAAAAAGTCAGGATGTAACTCGGATCACATCATCCTTTCCTGAAAACACCCTTGATGGCCTCCCACTTCTTAGACTAAGCCTAGACTGCTTGCCACGGCCTGCAAAACCCTTCCCCCTCCAACTCCTCCCTGACATTCGCCCTGTCCCTCACGGCTTCCAGAACCTTCCAAGCCTTTTCCCTCCACCTGGAGTCTTCTTTCTCCCATTAGGCACACCTCAACTTCTCCTTTGCCTTCAGGTCTCGGCTGTTGGGTCACCTTCTCGGAGGGCTCGTCCCTGACCAGCCCATCCTCAAATGGCCCTCACCAGGTGCCCTCCCACGCAGATGCGCTCGCGTTCATTCCTTTACTAGTTTCTAATCGGTCTTGGCCACTGAATGCCAACACCAGGAGGGCAGGAATGGCTCATGCCTGGTGTGAACTGGCACAGTGCCTCCCTCAGTGATTCAACGTTGTTGGAAAGGGGCGGGGGGGGAGGCGTTCAGAGAAAGAGAGATGAGGCAAAATTCTAGGAGATACACTTTTTCATAATTCAGGGTATCATAAATTAGGCTATATATGAGTTATAATAAGTTAAAGAGAGTAAATGGATGGAAATTGCAATTCAAGGGAGGAAGGATGGTCTTTTCAACAAATGGGGCTGGAAGGATGGACGTCAGGCAAAAACCCCGAAAAATGAAATAACAATGCTCAACCTAAGTCTCGCACCTTATGCAAGAATTAATTCAAAATGGATCCCAGATTTAAACGTAAAATGTGAAACTATAAAACTTTTAGAAGAAAACGTAGGAGAAAGTCTTTGGGACTTAGGACTAGGCTAGGTGACAAGTTGTTAGACTTGACACCAAAAGCATGTTCCAGAAGAGAAAAAAATTGATAAATTGGACTTTCACAAAATTAAGAACTTTTGCTCAGTGAAATATCCTCTTAAGAAGATGAAAAGACAAAGTATTTGCAAACCACACATCTGGTGAAGGACTCCTATCTAGAATATATAAAGAACTCTCAAAACTCAACAGTAAAATACAAAAACAAAACAATCCGATTAGAAAATTGGAACATATGGATGGCAAATAAGTATATGAAAAAATGGTCAACATCCCCAGCCATCAGAGAAATGCAAATTAAGACCACGGTGACAAGTCACTCCACAACGATTAGTACAGCTAAAATAAGAAATTGTGACAATACCAAATGCTGACAAGGATGCAGAGACACTGAACCTCTCAGACCTTGCTGGTAGGAATATAAAAGTAGAGCCAATCTGGAAAACAGTTTGACAGTTTCTTAAAAAACAACATACATTTACCATATGGCCCAGCAATTGCACTCCTGGGCATTTATTTCAGAGAAGTGGGAACTTACATCTACGTAAATTATACCTTATGTCTTATGAACTTATGTCTATGTCTATACACACATGTTCGTAGCAGCATTATTGTTATAGCCCCAAACTGGGAACAACCAGAATGTCCTTCACTGGAGGAAAGGTTAAACCAGCTGTGGTCCATCCAGACCATGGAGTACTACTCAACAGCAAAAAAGAACGAACTATTGATACACACAACAACTTAGATGGATCTCAAGGTCCTTATGCTGAGTGAGAAAGGCCAATCTCGAAAGGTTACAAACTGCATGATTCCATGCATTCAACATTTTGGAATTTTCCAGGGATTAGGGAATGGTGGGGAGGGAAGTCACTATGGGGTGGTATGAGGGAGATCTTTGAGGTGATGGAACATTCTCTATCTTGATTGTGTTACACAAATCTACACATGTGACAAATTTGCATAGAACTAAATACACACACACACACAAGTGCATGTACAAGTAGTG